ACATGTCTGGCCAATCATGTATTGTCAACATGTCTGGCCAAACATGTATTAATAACATGTCTGGCCAATCATGTATTGTCAACATGTCTGGCCAATCATGTATTGTCAAAATACCTGGTCAATCATGTATTGTCAACATGTCTGGTCAATCATGTATTGTCAACATGACTGGCCAACCATGTATTGTTAACATGTCTGGTCAATCATGTATTGTCAACATGTCTGGCCAATCATGTATTGTCAACATGTCTGGCCAATCATGTATTGTCAACATGTTTGGCCAATCATGTATTGTCAACATGTCTGGCCAATCATGTATTGTCAACATGTCTGGCCAATCATGTATTGTCAACATGTCTGGGAAAACATGTATTAATTAATAACATGTTTGGCCAATCATGTATTGTCAACATGTCTGGCCAATCATGTATTGTCAACATGTCTGGTCAATCATGTATTGTCAACATGTCTGGCCAATCATGTATTGTCAACAAGTCTGGCCAACCATGTATTGTCAACAGGTCTGGCGAAACAAGTCTTAATAACATGTTTGGCCAATCATGTGTTTTACATACCCTAGAAAAATTCATTTATTTAATGAAAAGTAGTGACAAAAATAGAAATAAGCTATTACTGATTTTAGTCACAAACCTTTTACTTTGAGAAATGAGCATTCTCTTCTTAATTATTTTAGTCATTTTGATACATATTGCTATACTTTCTAAGGATGCAATAAGGATATTATTATTATTACCACATTGGACCTACTATAATGACTGTGAAGTCAACACATAGATCATGCTTACCTAAAACTAGTTTCTGATGGTGGTGTTATTCTCTCATAGTTTGGTATACCAAGACCGTAAAAGTGATTTTGAACAACATGGTCTACAGAACAAAACCGATTGATCTCCTAAAATGTAATAAATATATATGTATGAAGGTAATCAGTACTGCATCACACTTGGACAAAATCAAACAAGAAAATGGTACTGCATCAGAGTTAGTCAAAATCAAATGAATAATTGGTACGTCAGACTTAACAAGCAAGCAGCCTCTCGGCTGAGATAGCCCCGCTGTTAGCACTGCACATTTCAATTAAAGAACAGAAGATATAATTAGAAAATGAACAATATGTATAGTATCAATGCAATGGGACTTGCTGTTTTCAACAAGAATTCAAAAATATCATTTTTCACCAAAAATGATTGTGGTTTTTAACGAGAAGTTGATAATATCACTTTTTACCAAAAATGACAAAAATATTCACCAAAATTAGAGAATTACAGATACCATTACAAAATGAACAAATCTGAGAGCGGTCCACATGTAGTATCTATATATGTAATATCAAAGCAATTGGACTTGCGGTTGTTAACAAGAAGTTGAAAATATCACTTTTTACCAAAAATGACAAAAATATTCACCAAAATTAGAAAATTAAAGATATCATTATAAAATGAACAAATCTGAGAGAGGTACACATGTAGTACCTATATATGTAATATCAAAGCAATTGGACTTGCGGTTGTTAACAAGAAGTCGAAAATATCATTTTTTACCAAAAACGACAAAAATATTCACCAGAATTAGAGAATTGAAGATATCATTACAAAACGAACGAATCTGAGAGAGGTCCACATGTAGTACCTATATATGTAATATCAAAGCAATTGGATTTGCGGTTTTAACAAGGAGTC